TAATGCAGGTCACCCAAAGTGCTGCCACTGAAAGGACTGAAGCTCCAGAGAAACAATGCACTTTTAAACATTTATTTTTGGGATGTCTTGATTGTGTTTTTCCTTAGCTGAAATTATTTATTCTGCAAACTAGCACCACCACCAGGGTTAAGGGCAAGCATATGTGTTAAATGGACATGGGAAGGATGAAAACACAGGGAAACAAGATGTCACAATGACAGCAGTGATGGTCCAAAGGACCACCTTTTGCTTTATTGAAATGAAGTTTGTTGTAAGCTAGAATTTTCCTAAAAATGGTTTCCAGTGCTCTGAGAGCCCTCAGGCTGTGTTCTGCAGAACTATATTGTTTGCATTCTGTGCTGAAATTTAAAAAAGCCAAACCCACCAAAAAAAAAAAAACCAAAACCAACCAACCAACAAATAAAAAACAACCAAAACCCAATAAACACCAAAAAAAAAAAAGAAAAAAAAAACACCACTAAAACAAACAAAATCTGAAAAAAACAGATCCACACCACAAACCTTATCAGACTCATCTGGCTGCCTGCAACGTGCTGGGAAGGTGCTGCTTGGCTTGCTAGACAAGGAGCACCAGGAGATGCTCTCCTGGAATAAGAAGTGAGAGGGGGTTTCTTAATGAAGAGAGAACCTGAAGCTGTTTCTAAGACAGTCGGGGAGCAGTGGAGGTTTGGGGTCAGGGTGAGAAGTGTGGCAGTACATAACTGCCCTCATGATCACCTCCAGATCTGGGCCAAGTAAGGAGCCAAGTCCAAAGACCAGAAATGCAATCCGTTTTTCATGGGTCTTACTTCTGCAAAACACTTCCTGACTTCCATGAAAACATGCTCACTAGATAGCTCCTCTCTTCAATCACAAGCCCTGACCAAAACTGATCTTGATATTCCCATTTAGATGAGGAAATTCCAACTGTCTCCTATACTCATTTTCTATAGACACACAAAAATGTCATTGCTTAGAGCTGCATAATAAACCTGATTTCCCCAGGGAAAATCAGAGACACAGGTTCATTTCCTGTTATTAGGGATGACTTTTTGCAACACTGCTTGTAGACAAAATCTGTCACATAATACTAGTTTCCAGTACCATAATAATCCACTGATGATGCTCAGCACCTCCCCTGTGCCCAGGAAAACCATGTGCTTTTCTGTGAGTAGAGAGTGCAGTAACATCCCACGCAGTTCTGAATATCTTTTGGCACATTTCAGTATCATTTTGTGGTAAAACAGTGATAAAATCTCATAGACTTGCAATTTAACTTGCTTTTGTTTAGGTATGAGCAGAGTGGCACAGCCTCAGCAACACACGAGGCTTTCAGCTCACCCTGCTCCCTGGGCAAAATCTCTGTTGGATATCAGTCCACCTGTTTTACGCATTCAGGAAATTATTTAGAACATTTCAGTGTTTTTAAAGAAAGGCAGAAGGAAAACAGTGGAAATTACCCAAGAACCCTGTTGACTTTGGTGCAGGGATGAAGGACACGTTTTTTTTTTTTTTCTGTGTATCCTAACAGACCACTAAGGAAGGTGTTTGGGGAGCTCTGTCCTGAGGCTTGTTCTTCAGGCTTCTGTCCTTTCCAGTGCCTGGGTTGTGTTGTCAGTGGTCTCTTGAGACCCTCAGGCTGCTTAGTTCTTCTAAAGAACCACTGGTACAACTTATGCCTAAAAATCCACTGCTTGACATTTATAATCTGACTGTCAAACTATGCCTGGCCTTTCCACAGTGGTTGTTTGAGGTGAGTGAGTTTGCATGATATCAGGTACATACACAGATATATTTGTATTGTTTTTTCAGTATTTTCCAATCAGGGTGTAATAGAATTGTCAACCCTACTGTCTTCTCCACACAAATGCCCTGTCTGCTTTCTGCTGCATCCTTATCCATCTTAAATAATCTTGATTTAAGTGTCTTCTTGTACAGAGCTGGAAAAGGGCCAGTCAGGTCTCTTGGCCATGAAAAGGAAGATTTTGCTTCCCTTACCAAGTGAAATCAGCAGTAGTTTCTCTCAGCACCCCATTGCAGGTGGGTCTGCAGGGGAAGGCTGCACAGGGGCCTCTGGAACTGCCTGCAGGGCACAGCCACCCTAATGCCACTTTCTGACCCACTTACCCAGTTTGGAGAGGAGATTAGGATATATCTGAGATCCCTCTGGGAATAGCCCAGTCCAGACACAACAGAGGAGGAGAATGACAGCGAGAAAGATGGGGAGGTATGGACGGAGCAGCTCCTGTGCAGCAGAGCCTTCCCAACCAGTCCTCTGTCACCCACAGGCACAACCTGGGGGTCTGCTCGGACCCTGGGCTGGAGTAGGAAGTCCAGGTGACCAGGGGGAACTTTCCATCTGGCATGTTTGGCCAGAAGCCCATTGGGTTTTATCTTGGAGTCAGCAGCTGCTGCTCTAATCCAATATGTTGAAAACTCTAAGATTATAATGTTACCTTTGCACGTGCCCTGAGTAAAGGCCCAAGAGGGAAAGGGGAAACCTTCAGTGCAAGGAATATTTGACCTACACAATTCCAACAGCTGTGAATGGGATCAAGTAACTATGAATGGACAAGTACCAGAGAGAAGCTTTAAAGTAACTATGAGTGGACAAGTACCAGAGAGAAGCTTTAAAGTGTTACCACCTCGTATGAATAAATTTCAGTGAAGTATTAATAGGAAATATCAATGTTATCAATGTCGATTATTTCATGTGCTAACTAGTAACCACTGATTTATTAGGAAGGATGCACTTGCAGATGATGGACAGTAATTCTGCACTGACTTGTCTGTTCTTCCTCTGTGCTCCATCCAAGGGCAGTACTGCAGCTGCTGCCTGCTGCTCCCTCTGCTCATTTGTCCTCTGCCTGCTGAATTCAGTGGGATTTGTGCCTTTAACATAATTATTATTAAGTTTCTATTTTATGTCCCTGTTCAAGAGGCTCTTTGGTAGCTGATTATACTAATCAGAGGTGACTTAACCCATATTTGAATGCAGCAGTCTGAATTTGTCTTCAGTGCAGTCTCCAGAAGATATGAACCAAGCATCAAAGAAAATTAATTCATAGGTACATTATCCTGTGGGATCAAGCTAAAATGTGGTCAAAGAGCTTTAGCTTGTGTGCTCTCATGTAAGGATATGGGCAGGAGAAAGCAGGCAGGCTCTTGTTTGTGCAAGTTCCCCCCCTCCCTTCTTTGAGTTAGGCAGAATAACAGATCACAAGAATACTTATCAGAGAATATTTTACTGCAGTTAAGTCAGAACATTTTATTCCTTTACAAAAATAATAATTATTTTTGGAAGTACTATCAGCCACATGAAAAGTATTCTTTAATCTTTTTCTGGGCCAAAATTATGACTTGGGTACTTCTCAGCTTTTCAAATAAATACATTAATTTATCTGGCCAAGGTATTACTCCAGCACAAGGCAATACAGGACCTTAAACACACACAAAATTTGGGTACTTCTGTTGCCTCTGGAAGAACCATCTTAAACCATTTTCTACAAAATAAGGTCCTGGATGATGGAAATGAAATAATTCCAGCTGGTTCTCAAAAGCTTAGGCGGAAGTTTGTCCTAGATGGTGATTAACTCATTCATGTATGTTCATAATCCTTTAAAGCAGTTGCATAATATTCCAAGTGGCCCTCAAAGATGCTGTGTAGGACAGTGAGTAGCTCATTTCAGCCCACAGGAATGCAAGATCTTATGCTAGGGGGGAAATACTGTTCACACTGGAGTAAATGTGTTTTTTGTTCTGCCTTTAATAGTGTTTCTGTTCCTTTTTCTGAACTTAATTGAGAATGGGATTTTACCCATCTCCCCACATGATTCTGGCTCAAACCTGAATTCTAGCTTTGAGCATTTTTAAATGGGGAAAATTAAAGTGAAACTAAATAAACGCAGTGAATAGATCCATCTCCAGGTGGAGAAGGACTCTGATAACCTTCCTGCAGCAGAGGTGTGCTCTGAGCAAACAGTCCCTCAGTGCTGCAGGTACTGGGGAGCAGCTGTGCCACCTGCCCTGCTCCTGCAGGTGGCCAAAGGGCCCTTCCTCCTCCCACAGCAAACACAAAAGGGGATCTCTAAGGTGAGGAGAAGGTCAGAGAAGGGAAAATGTTCTATTTCCAGGAACTTTCAGTGAAACTTCAGACTTGACAAAGATAAGGCTAGATAAGGAATTTCAGGGACAGAGTTCACACGGGTAAACTCTCAGGCAGTATATTTTTATGTTGCAAGTGAGACTAAAATATTCCATAAACTTTCACTGTATTCTTTGCATTAAATCCGATAATTAGTTATTCATCTCCCAGCTTTGATTTTGTTAAGTAACCAATACCCTAATTCAGAGGGAAGAATTTAATCCATAGAAAATTCTGTCCTGGGAGAAGATCAAAGTGAGTCCCGTGGTGTTAAGCACACACCTACAGGACTTGATCCTGAAAAAAAAAATTAGGTGCATGTTTCAATCAGCGTATCCCTTCTTACTGGCTCCCATGCATTAACCTAAGCCTCTGCTGGAGCATTTTTGGGGTCAGGATCAAGAACCTGTGGAGAAGCCCACAATGAGAGAGCAGGGCTCTGAAAAGGTAGCAAGCAAACAGGTGAGAACCCAGCAGGCTGTGATGGCAATGCCTCCTCATTCCTCTGCACCTACCAACGCTACAGGAAGAGATTGAAAGTCTCTTGGGCGACATAAATACGCGCGATAAGCTCGAACAGAAAACACAAAGGTGAAATGGCCCTGCTTATCAGGCACAATTAAAATGAATAGAGGATGACTAATAAAGAGGCAGTTTAAAATCTTTACATGACACAGTGTCAAGGCAACAGCGTTGTGCAATAGCACTGACACAATTAACGCTGTGTCCCTGCTTTGGGCTGCCGCCCGCAGCCTCCGATGGCGAGCGCGGGGTGCGCGCTGCCGCTCTGCGCTCCGGGGCCGCCGCGGGACCGCGCACCAGCCGCGCTCCGGACCCAGGCAAGGCTGCTCTTCCCTCTCTGCCGTCTCTATCCCCTCTTTCCTTCTCGCTTGCGCGATCCCAACCCCCGCGGTTACTGCTGCGTGAGAAGGGGAAAACATCTCGTTGGATTTCTGGGCACACTCCGGAGGGACACAAGGCTGAGGTGCCCGATCCTGACCCGGGGCTGGCTGTTGACTTAGCGCCGAGGAATGCAAGCGTTTCCTGCGTAGGAATTTTTGCAGTGTGTAATTTACTAGTTTGGACAGCCCTTTGCTCGGGATGATGGATGGTGAATGGGAGTGTGATCTTCCAAAATACAGCTCAAGGTATCCTTCTAGTTCTTAATTTAATTATGTCGCTCCTTAGTGGTGCCTGTCAGGCTGCAGGATCTCCCACTCCACCGAGTGAGTGCAGCAGGCTGGGTTTTATATACATATATATAACATGAATATACATGTATGTACATATTTATATATATACATAGATTATATGTATATATTAAACACTGTTCTAATATATATATTATACACTGTTCTATTCACACAAAAGAACATCTATAAAACCATACGCAATAATATTTATAAGAACAACAAAGATAATTTTCTTTCTTTGATGTTCTTATTTTCTGGCCAAAACCAGCTCTCTCTTGGTTTTATTGCTGCTGGCATGTCTTTGCCATGCAGCACTGTCAAAAATTAACAATATAAATAAATTTGAGGCCACGCCAACCATCGCTGAGCACAGCCAAAGCTGCCCAATGCCACAACTTGCTGAACAATGTGTGAATTTTGCAGTGGCAGAAATGTCTGTTTCCCTGTTCTTTCTTAACTTTTGGAAAGATCTTGGTGGAAAGTATGTTTTTCTAAATGAGATAATTAAAGTAATTGATATGAAAACTCCTTCACCATTGCTGCAGGAGGAGGGTTCCCTGTATTTGCCCAGCCTGCTACCTCTACCTGCCAGGGGCTGCAGGGGAGTTGATTGGAACACTTCAAATAAGACATGATTTCTGGTCAGCAAACAATGGTTTTTTATGAGGTCAAGTGGTACTTCTGAACAGTTTGGTTTGATTAGAAGGTAGTGTTGATGCTGTTTCCTGTGCCTGTCAGTCTTGTGGGATGGGGGGCGGCCAAGGAAGTGTCCCAGCAGTGCCAGCACCCCTGGCCAGCTGGTAGCACAGCTCAGGGCAATGGCTGTGGCACTTGTACCTTGAGGGGAAACCTACCACAGCCTCTTCGGGGCCACTTCCTGCCTGCCTGTGCTTCCCACCCATCCGTCTGGGGTTGCTGAACCTTCAAGTGCCTCAGACACAAGAGTCTGATGTTTTCATCATTCCCCATCTACTTCCCCAAATGTGTATCTGCATGTCCATGTAGGGAGGCAGTGACATCCATCCATCCCATTGGTGATGGTCCCTGCTGTCAGGGCTGCAGAGGCACACCTGAACCCAGGTAAAAGCGGAGAGAAATACTGCATTTGATATGTGTTGGTGTCTTGCCTGAAAGTGAGCAGGAAGGATTTTTACCACATGAATGAGGGAAGGGTTGCTGTGTTTCGCATGACCCACTCTAAGTGAGAAAAAGAGATTTGCGACTTGTGGCAGGCAGCACAACCAAGCTATTTTCTTTGCCTCTGATAGCAAAGTAAATAAGAAATATTAACTGTGTGCAAAGGTCCCCTTTTACTAGTGCTCATCAATAACAGCTGATGTTTCTCGGGGTTATTGCTGTAACGTCACTTTCCTTTCCTCACTGGCATCAGGTTCATGTTAAAAACCTCATAGGGCCTCATAGGAAAGTCTCTTGTTCCCTGCCCTGTTTGTGGGTTCTGCTTTTGTCCCCCATGCTGTGCTTTGGGGCACTGGCACATGTGGGGCTGGGGCTGTGCAGGCTGCTTGCGTGCCTGCCCTTTTCCTCCTGCAGAACGAGGGCTGGGAGAGGAACAGGAATTTTGGCTGAGCCAAGAAAGCCAGCAGTGAGAATGCCAGCTGTGGGAAAGGGCTGTTAGGCAGTAACATACTCCCAGAGGAAGCAGATCCCCCAGCATTGCATAGGTGAAGGAACAGTTTCCAAGAGGAAGCTGCTTGGAGTGAAGAGGGGGCGAAAAGGACCCCAAAAAATGAACTTGCTGGTAAGGGAGTGAGTGCACTCGGTTTTGAAAGCTGCTTGGAGTAGCCCGGGGCTGGAGTCAGGGACCCAGCGATGTTCTCCCAAGCCGTCCCAGCTGTGGCGTCCACCAGTGGTGTCCCAGCGCAGCGCTGGTCCCCAGCCGGCGGTGCCTTGAGCAGAGAGAGGAAGAGACTCCAGAACAGCCTTAACGCCCCAGCTTTGTTACCTGCGGCTTCCAGATACAAGAGGAGCTTAAAGCAAACTCTGGCGATGGGCAGGACCGCAGCGGCCCCGGCCCGACTGTCCGGCCGCACCGTGGCAGCGCAGGCGGGACCCCGGGGCTCCTGCACCGGCTGCGGCTCCGCAGTCACGGGCAGGGAAAGGAGCTGCCCGCTCTCCTTGGACAGGAGGGTAAACAGTTACACTGGAGAAAGGGAATTCAAAAAACCCCAAAAAACCTATGAGGAAGGAAGCGGCAAATGTTAAATGGGTGACTCACGATGCGGGATGACTAATCCCGTCAGGGCACAGCTCGTGCTGCGCAGGGAGCCGGTGCCGCGCTCCGGGCGGGGAGCGCAGAGCGGCTGCGGCTCCGTCGGGGCAGCCGGGCCGGGCCTCGCTCCGCACGGAGGGAGAACGGGCCGGTCCCGGCGGGAGTCCGCGGCCACCCCGCGGCCAGTACCCGCGCATCGGCGGCGTGACCCACTTTCCACTTTCCGCCGCTTCCTCCCGGCGCACGACACCGCCGCTGCCGCGCCACCTGCCCGGCCCCGTCCGGGCCCCGCGCCCGCCGAGGTGCGCGGCTCCTCCCGTGCGGGGCTCCTCCCGTGCGGGGCGCTCCGCTCCGCCCCGCGCTCTGCCCGCGGCTGCCGGTGGCGGTGCCGGTGGCGGCGGGGCGGGGAAGCAGCGCGCCTGTGCAGTGCCGGGGGCCGGGCCCAGCCCGCCGCGTTACACAACCGGCCGCCGCCACAGCCGAGTTTCACAAGTCCCGCAGCCCGCGCCCCCCGTGCGCCCACCGCACTGCCCCCGGCCCGCCGCGCTCATGCCATGTCCCCGCCGGGCAGCGGGACCCCGCGGGCAGCGGTAACCCCTGCGGCCGGGGGGGCACCGCGCCAGGGCTGGGCATGGCACTGAGAGCGGCTCCGGGACGCGCATCTTCCTAGGCGGTACGTACGGCCCGGGACCGCCAACCCTGCCCGGCTCGGGAGGGAGGGAGGGAGGGAGGGAAGAAGGGGACCCGCACCTGCAGCCCGTGGGAAGAGCCCCCGCTGCAGGGCTGGGACGCGGCACTCGCCGCTCCGCCCTACCTTCTTCGGACACTGCCAGGACGGTCCCAGGTAAGTTCTGAAAAGGAAAAACTGACAGCTGCAAGTCCTCTGGTTTTTTTCCTTTAAAAATCTGTGTACCGTCAAGACGGGCAGAGGACGCAGCGCAGGGTGTCCGGGGGGCTCTGGCTGTAGAGGGCAGGCGGGAAGGGGACCCCGGGGCCGGGATGCAGGAGCGCATCCCGAAGCCGGCACCGGCATCCCCGTCCCGCAGCGCCCGCGGACCGCGGCGCTCGGAGCCGCTCGGAGCCGCCACGGGCTGAGCGCGGCTGAGTGCCGTGATTTGGGATTGAGGGAAGCTGATTTTCAGGAGACTGGAATGGGTCTGATCGCAGGCTTCTCGTTCTGGCTTAAAGTTCGTCGTTCGTGGAATGTATTTGACTGAAATAGGTTGGAGAAAAACCTCTGAAATGAGTCTTGCACCTAAAAAGATAGCATCTAAAATCCAGGTTGAAAAGTCATTCTTCCCACCAGGGTTGTTGTGTCATTTTACAGAATGTTTACATTATGAGTGGGGAAATAAGAAGGCTTTGAAAGTCCCCCACATGTTTCAGCCACGGATTTGTGAATGGTAACTCCACGCCTTGGTCCTTAGTGGCAGAAATTGTGAAGTGATTGCTCTGGGTAGCTCGCACTGGAAGCGCAGGTCGGAGCTGAGCCCTGTGTGATTCATCAGTGAGGTGTCGCACGCGGTTTGCTGTAGTCCTTTGTGAAGTGCCACAGTCCCCGAGGGCAGGAGGCAGGTCCCTGCTCAGTGGATTTTGGAGAAGTCCAGCACAGCAGTGCCTTTGCGGAGACAGAACTGGCACCCGAGTGCCAAGCTGGGGCACTTCAGCCTGATCCGTGGATGAAGTTGTCCCCTTCAGCAGGGGGGTGGCTCCGGAAATAATGCCCTGAAATCAAAGCTGTTGAGCTGCCCCACGCCTTACCTGCCTGGGGAGGGTAGGGTTATTTATTAGCTGAAGTTTATTTTGCTGTGTGCAGTGAAAGCTGTGGTGCTGATTTCACTACAGGGATTAGACTTTCTGGTGTATCCATGAGAAAATCTTAGGAGTCACTTCCTTCATTTTTGAGCAGAATGCCAGTGCTCCCTGTCCTTATTTTGTTGGATCACTGCTGGCTAATCCCTAGCTCTGGAAATGTGAATTTGGCTTAAAGAGACAGCTAGCTCTTCATGGGTTTGATGTGTAGGCTTCACAGTCCTCAGAGATGTAAGGGATGTTGTTTGAAGCTGCAGACACTTTCAAGAGTACACAGTGTGCAGCCCTGGTAGTGAGTGTCTGACAATGTGGTGTTTTGGTTGGGAATTTGTCATTTTTATAAATTTCCTAGGCTGTAGTCCCTCACCATAGTTATTCAGTCAGAATAATACATTCTGACTGAATTTCATGTATTTCAGAAAAATACATTGGATTTTGGGTTTTTAGAAACTGTATTTAAAAAAAAAGTAGATCATTCTCCTGTAATGTGCTAATCAGAGTAAGCCTGTGTCAGTGTTGCACCAGGGAGGACCAGAACAAGTGCACTTGGGACTCTGCAGCTGATGGAGCCCTGACAAACACAGCAGGCACTAATGAGGACAGGAAGCTCCAGGAGAAGCCAAAAGTTGAAATTTGTGTGGAAAGGAGGCGTTCGTATCTCTTGGGTTAAACATGTGTAGTACCAAATCTAGAATTTTTCTGGAAGAGGTAATAAGAAAAATGAACATGGCTTTAGGAGTGGTTGCTTGCTGCTCACTTATCCTGATTGTTCCATGTTGTGGATTACAATTAATTGATTTAAAGGAAAAAGTTAAATTGGCTTGAAATGTGTTTATAAACTGCAAACTTCAGTAAGATATGTGATGGTTCTTGGGTTTTAGCCACTGAGACTATATCTGTATTAAATTATTTT